CTCCAGGTCTTATAGAGCTCAATGGCAGCAATTGCTAAATAAACACTAGCCAGTGAACTCTACAACAACTGGAACATTGAGTTCTATAATAACTGGAGCGGCTAACTTTACTGGGGCGAGGATGCCAAAAAAATGGCGGCCAACGGACGTATTTCCGCTGAAATGATCGCTTTGCAGAAAAATAATATTCTCGACCTCCCCCTGGTGTCTATAGTAAATTACAAAGAATTTTTCAAAAACAAACACGATATCACAGAATATGGATATCGTTAGTTCCATATTCTCTAACGATTCTTTTTTGGCATTTCTTTTATAATGCCAACACTTCAAACGTTCAATTGTTGCATGTCGTAGTTTCCACAAAAAGGAACATATCGCTTCTCACAGGTGAGGTAGTTGTTTGTTTTGTTAGTCCGTCAACGATTAAAAAGCAATTATACATGCACTTGAAAAGCCATAAAATACATATTAAAGATCGTATTTTTTAAGATTGACTTGAACGCCAAACATAATTGATGTTTTCCTGTTTTGTCTATAAAATTCTGCATACTTTTCTGTCATTTGTTAATGCATGAAATCGAAAATTTACCATTCATTTGCAAAATAGTTTCCCTTAAAGCAAAAAGACCCTGCACATTTTGCTCTGTGAAAAGTATCAAAAGAAATGATCAGCCCCAACAGTACCCATGATTTGGAGCAGAGCTTGTTATGTTCTATCGCTGACAACATGCAGGGAAGACCAAGGAGTAAAGATGACTGGAAGATGTTATTGACCAGGCAGAGTCTTAAAAAATGATAATGCTGTAAAGATAATTGATTTATTGTCTTCCTTATCCAGAGTTATTTAATTTGATCATGGTCAAATTCTATGGATGGAGACAATGGATTCACTAATGATGCCTTGAATGCTTTGAAGTTAAAGTTCATGAACCAAAAAAAGATGGCAAGAAGGTTGTGTGTGTTTTGATGCTTAATTAAATGTCAATTCACAACACATAAAATGGAAAGGCCATAAAGTTTGTGTCTATGTAAGCATTTGTACTGAGATTGATGATGACTCGATGCAGATGTTAAGCATCAAACTGTATAAGCCATTGGGTTTTATATAACTTAATGTTTAAATCATGTCATATCTTTTATCAAAATATTTTTAGTTGAGTGTTGTTTTAAATGTTACTAATATCTAATGCACTATACTGAAGCATTAAAGATTCAGTGATGAAACCTTTAAAATTACTTTTACTGTATATTTTATATAT